TTAGGTCCTTCGTAGTTTTAGGTGTTTTCCAAAGAATGTATGGAGATGTATACATACTATGAATGTCGCTATATCGCAAAAAGTCAAGATCGTCCGCAAGTCTTTCATTCTGGAGAGAGTCCTCCATTGTTTTAATAGAGTAATTTACAGTCCGTTTTCATATCACGTTTGAGGGGAATTTGACATTTGTTATGTTCCCTTGCAGGAATTGTTGTAAAATGTATTTACATGACAAAGACCAAATATCAGGTATAATTCCAAGTTGGTTATTACATGGGTCTTGAATGTACTGGTATAACCGTCGTAGAAATATCTGTTTAGAAAGAGTTTCTGACTTTAGGTGAATGAGAGAAGAAAGGAAGTTGAGCTTCCTTTTGTCGATTTCTAACGGCAGTCTAGGAAGGCCTAGCATAGATTCACACATATCGGATCTGGTTAGTTTCCGGAAGCATTGAGTTATTTTTGCAATTGTGTGCTGTAGGACGTTGAGGCGCTGTAGATCATTTTTAGTCATTTTAGACCAAAACTCGGAACCGTAAAGAACACTTGGGATTATGACTTTTTGTACAATTCCGTTGTTTTTAAAGGGTTGGTCCATTCACAATCCTGTCCAAATTTGGTTATTAGAATAAATCAGTTTCTGTCTTTATTACACCCGTTTTTTATAGCTAACGGACTTTTGAGATCGGTGGAGATAATAACACCTACATGCTTATACGAGTCCGAGAACTTTCACAATATGCATAGAGAAACATATTTACAATATAATATATAGTAATTGTAGTGTTCGTAGTCGGTAGTACACAGTACTGTTTCATAATATATACACATTTATATCGAGGATTTCAAATATTGTTATTAATTATTCTGATAAAAGTACAAAGTTTCTTCAGCGTTTTTATATTAGTAGTATTCATTAATTCATAAACTTAATTACATTTGGTCTCGTCCAAAAATATTTGTCTATATATAAAATTCGAAACACAGATAGTGATGGACACTCAAGCAAGTAATGGAATTCGTCACCAATTTGCTGACTGTTACAGTGTGGACATTTTCTTTCATTATACTCTATATTATGCCATCTACCGGTTTCAACAATGACTTTGTGATTAGTAGTCTTAAATTTACAAAATGTAACTCTATCTGTATCACTTAAAATATCTAAATAATTTTCAAAATGACAATTATTTTTAAAAAATCCTATAACATGTAGCTTTTGATGTAGTGTGTACATCACTCTGCCATTTCTGTAAATACTGGTCATACAATCTTTGTTTAATAACATGCTTTAGCCATGTGATATTGCATTCTGAAGTATATTGGACATTACATAGGTAACTCATACCACATTCATTTAAAATACGTTTAATAAAGCTTATATATGGAACCGGTTTATCATCAACATTATGGTGATGGCAAAGAAATTTATACAATATAATATTAATTTTATTTTCTTTAGAATGAGTCAATTGTGACAAATATGATATTGTTCTTGTTTTTACTGTTATTTCAAGTGGACTAGTACCTAGTTCTCCATATACCATATACTTAGGGGTGCTACTTTTTCCATGTTTGACCATTTGAAGTCGTTATTCCGTTTATGGCTATTCCCGAAGACAAGAACTGTGCTTTTGTCCGCATTGTACGTGAACTTCCATGTTTTCGCATATTTTGTGCAGATGTCTAGTAGCGTTTGCAAGGCTGACGGACTGGTTGCAATCAAGGCAATGTCGTCGGCAAGAGCTTGGTTACTACAATTTATGTCGTAAATCTTGGCTCCAACTCGGCTATGTTCCAACTCTAAGAGAAGGTCATTTATGAAGACGAGATATAAAAAGCTGGAGATCACTCCTCCTTGTCTAATTCCAGATTTGACCGGCAGCCATCTTGATCTTGTACCGTGTGTCATTACTGTGTTATATATATCAATATATGAATTATTAATTAAAGTTAGGATTTTCCCTCGCGCACTCAACTTGATTTTTTTTTCATAAGGCCGTGATGCCACACAGTGTCAAATGCCTTTCGCGTGTCTAAGAATGCCACGAATACTTTACTGGTGTTTCCCAAGCTATAGTAAATGGTCTCTCTCAAGTTAAACGCAACTGTGGAGCAGCTAATATACATAGCGACACTATGTGAATCCTTGCTGTTGTTTACAAAGTAGGTTTGCGATACACGACAACCAGCTCTGGATTCTATTGCTTATGAGTTTTTCTAATAGTTTGTATATTGCCGGAAGTGATGTAATCGGACGGTAACTATCTGGATTATTTTTTGAGCTTGTGCCCTCCTTTATAAATTGGAATGACAATGCCACATTTCCACGTCTTTGGTATATATCCTTTGTCTAAAATTGCGTTAAAATGTTTCAGAATACAAAGAAACAGCTGACGTCCCCCATAACGCAAATGTTCGTTACAGATATTGTCAACTCCAGGAGCTTTGTTTAGTTTCAGGTCCTCGATGGCATTTATCACTTCATCGAGTGTAAACTTGTAATAATGAATATCGGAGTTTTCCAAGACTGTGTTATCATGTGTTAGAGATGATTCGTCAGCATCAGGTTGAGTGTAAATCTGTTCAAAGTAGTTTTCAAAAGCTTCACAGATATCGTTGGGGTTCCGGAGGGATTTTCCGTTATAAACTAATTCGGGGCATGGATCAGCTTTTACGGATTTGCGTCTTCTAAAAACCTTCAAGAATAGACGAATGTCAACTTCCGCTGTGAGTTCTAATTCTTGTTGACATTCTAGCAAATACGCGCTATATGCATGTTCATGAACTTCTCTGAATATTTTCTTTGCGTCCTTGTAAGATTTATAACTCTGATACTGTAGACCGCGAGGACGTCCTTCACTGATCCACAAAACGCGTTTTTGTAAAGCGTTTTAGTGTGCAGACTTTACCTCGAGAGACCAGTACGGTTTAAGGGGGGGGGGTATGATTTCTCAATGGAATTGTATTATTAGCCGCTGTAATTGCCGAGAGAGTCATAATTTCAGCGTAAGTATCTATACCACATTGCGTTTCTAATGGCATATTTAGCAGCCCTTTCAGTTTGTCCGTAAGCACTAATTGGTAATTAATCAGGTCGTTGACAGAGGCTTTGTTCCAGGCTCGAAAGTCGTCAGATAGTGGTGTTCTACTGGAATGATCTCGCTTTATCGGCACGTTAAATGTGCACATGATCGGGAGATGATCTGACGATATGTCCGTTTCTAAGGTAGTGAAAATTTCACAATAATTAGCTGAGTTGTTACAGTCCAGCATCGTCTGACAGGGAATAAACGTGTATCTGTAGTCTCGACAGCTACTAAGACAGTTTAATGGAACTGAATTAAGGTCCGTGATTACCTTCTTAAGTGCTGTAGATTTGTGTTCTGACACAGAGTATTGAGGGTTTTCATTTATCCTTGCATTAAAGTCGCCCCAAAGAATCACTTTTCCTGACAGCGAATAATAAACATATGCGTCACGCAGTTGTTGAAGTGATAGATCGTAATCCTGTAAATTACTGTCAATTGGCATATAAACGCCTACTATGGTGACCATTTCAGTATCATTAGTATGCACATGTATCTTTATTGCTATTAGTCTATCATTGCTGACATTATCGAGGACAGAAACACTATAGAATAGGTCTTTCAAGGCTTACGTCATTTCTCGTTCTCGGGATTCCGTAGTATCGATTGTGAATTTTATCTTAAAAACTTATCTACATTAGTCGCACAGATATTTGCCTCGGTGAGAATGACAATGTCACTTTGACATTTTGGTAATGACAACAGATGTCCAATACATGCTGCTGATGAGGAAATTCCTCTAGCATCCCAAGTCAAAAGCGTCAGGTTCATGTTGAGCAGAAAACACACGAAGTAAAATGTAATGTTACACATTGTTGGTATAAGCGGTTTTACTTCTTTGGATTTTTACTGATCGTCGTACCAATAATCGCTGGATTCTCTATTCCAATGGTATTGGTCGTAGTAGTCTGAGTTATTATCCTCCCAGTCGTCCGCTGCGCTGTCTTTGTAAGAACGGTACTCGTTAATGTCTTCGTGTCTGTAATCAGAACGACGTGACGCCGGTTTTCGGTATGAACGCGTATCGAATCATGAACTGTGCTGATCTATTGAGTTGTTTCTGTTTTCATATCGATGCTTTTTATTTTGTTCTTCACATTGCTGTTTCCAATCATTACGGTTTACCCATGGACGACAAACACGTCATCGGGCCAAAAATCTGGTACGAGTAGAGACTCGGAATTCATCTCTAGTGCATTTATTTTGGCAGAATACGTATCTCCTCTGTTTTCAAAGAGAATAAAGTGTGTCACTTTAATACCTTTATTTTGAATATAGTTCACAATTCCACTACGTGTGGATTCCTTTGATATACCACTGGAGTAGTATCTGGACGTCCTACGTCGCTGACATTCCAAGCGTCAATGTACTGACATAACTTGCGTCTGTATACTGATTTTACATGTGTCTCTATACTGATATTTCACATGTCTGCATGGGCACCGACACTAAACGTGTTTCTATACAGATATTATACACTGTCATGTCTGTGTATGACATTACACGTGTCACTATAATGGCATTACATCGTCTGTATACTGAATTTGCATGCGTATGTGTATCGAGGTTGTGCGTCTGAGTACTGATATTGAAAATGTTTTTGTATTAATGACCAATATTTTTCTGATAGTGATTGTGTTTTTGGTAATAAGCCACATATTCTGACTGTACGAATAGCTGTGCATGGTTTCCAGGTGAAAAAAACTTGTTTTCTCTGTTTTTCCTATATGCACTGTTCTGAGACGAGAAAGTCGCGATTCCTTGCATTTTGTTTGTGTGTTCAGGTATTCCCAGGTGAGGTATCACCAGACTCACTCAGTGAGCGCTGTCGTGAAATCGACGTTCGTCGGAGCTGATGGCTGGACTTTCTATTAGGAATCAATTACATTTTACAGTGGCTGTGGACTACTAATCACATTTCGCCGGAGACATTTCTGGGAATGAAGGTTGGAGGGGACAAGTGGTTTCGAGTAACTCATGTTACCCAATCATGCATTGGTTTCACACATGTATTTACCAATCTCTACAGATGGTCTGTATTTGAACAGGAACAGCATGCCGATGGCGTTTCGAATCTATCTATCTTAGTCAGGGACAATAAAATGCAAATAGCTCTGACTAAATGGGTTTTTTTCAAAGTTTGACATTAGGTCGTTTTAGACGTACTCAACCATGGATACGGTACTCCACTAGCGACTCTCAGACGTACTCGGCCTGGAGACGGTACTCTTCTTATCAGCGCTGTCCTCATATCCAATATTGATCGCTAATGCAGTGGTTCCACGTCTGGAGAGACCTGTACACATCGTCTTTTAAAGGAGTATTTCCACGTATCTGTGACGGGGTTATTAGCCTAAACCAGTGGATTAAATGGGGAACAAACCTTGCAAACCTTCTGTCAAGGAGGACCACTTCAGCTTTGACGTTGCCAACACTGAAGGTAAGTTATATTGTTCATTAAGATATAACACAAAATACTGTACCAGTTACAAGAGGTAAAAAGAAATCCTCAGAGGCTTTTTAATCAACAATGTATTGCAATTAGGGCTGCAACGATACGCAAACCTCACGATATGATACATATCCTGGTACGCTGTGTACGATACGATACGTATCACGATACAAATATCTGTTTAAGGTTAACTTTATAATGATTGAGTGCAGAAATTAATCGAGTTTTGTATTATATTTCAATAGTAAATACTATATTCAAAATACATTTTTGTATGATTTAGTACTTTTGGGTATATCTGCACAGTGGGCCACATTTTTAATGAAGGGTTGAAAAAATAAGCAGGCTTTGTTAAAAGAAAAAGAAAAAAAATGATTGATGATTTAAGAATCGTTAGTGCATCGTGATACAGGCAAGCAAAACAATTCGATACGATACACAAGAAAATATCACGATACGATACGATATATCGTTGCAGCCCTATAGTAGTTACTGTACAATGTAAAGCTCTTATCTATCCCGAGAACCTATCTTTTTAAAGCAGACGCTTCCTGTATCCACAAAAACAAATTGCATGACCCTTGTATAGCTTACGACAAAAAAGTATTCGATTTCGAAGCCTATCACAATGCAATTCGACAGTTGAGAAACAGAGATTGTATCTTGCTGTTCGCTTGTTTTTATTTACCACTTTTAATCTATAACGGAAATCATCGGGGCCAGCTTTAAACACCAGGTTTGAAATAAAGAGTGCCTATGTCGTAAGAATGTGTTAGTACCTCAAGCAGTGCTGTATGCTGTTCCAACGACACGAATCAGCTACCAATTCGTTATTACTATAATTATTTCATTATCAATAAATAACTAATACCTCCGTTGTTATGTTAAACAAACGTCATGTCATTTCGTTTGCTATATACTTATAAAAATACATTTGCTATTATGTGTTGGTAACCCAGAACTACTGACATGTGAAGTAAAATATATCATCTGACGTTGGAAGAAACAGTCTTGTGTCCTATGCCACTACAAAAAGAGCTATAGCGTTCCCAGGTGAGATGAGTTGTAATATAGATCATTACATTTTGTCGAGAGGCTGTGCTATTTGCATACATTTCGAGCGTCAGCGAGGCAGGTGCATCCGATAAAAATCTACAGTGTATCGGATATCACTTAACATTGTATAAGAAATAATTTTACATCGTATAATATATAACTATATCTTTTATCGTATGTAACTGTGTATAAGAAATAATTTTTTTCCATTGTATGATATATAACTTAACATTGTATAAGACGTAACTACATCGTATCAGATAAGTATACAATGTATTAGATTTAGTTATACCTTGTACCATACCAATTCCTCCAAACTTGGTCTCCGAATTTGTTCCTTCTATCTTGAAACTCTTATCACAGTTACATGTGAATCCGCTTGAAAATAACATTTTAGTACATCTGAACCTTGTTCTTTTGTAAACAAAACTCCCATCATATCGAAGGCTACAGCCATAATATATCAAATATAACCACAATAACAATGCATTTAGAAACTGAGTTAGTATTAAGAACGTAAAAAGATTGAACAATGTTTCTTACTCTGGCAGAAACATTGTTTAGACTAACTACAGTCCTTTATCATGTTCTAGCATCAGCTGGAGTCGTGTATGAGTGTGTCGGTGTCTGGTTTGGTACATGACCAGGTTCACTGTTTGGCACTTTGCGCTACTGACAGTGTGTCGCTCTCTGTCACAGTTGCTGACAGTGTGTCGTTCTGTGTCATAGTCACTGACAGTGTGTCGTTCTGTGGTTTCGCTCTCTGTCCCAGTTGCTGATCTGTCACAGTTGCTGACGGAGTGTCGCTCTCTGTCACAGTTGTTGACAGTGTGTGGTTCTGTGTCACAGTTACTGACAGTGTGTCGTTCTGTGTCACAGTTGCTGACAGTGTTTCGCTCTCTGTCCCAGTTGCTGACGGAGTGTCGCTCTCTGTCACAGTTACTGACAGAGTGTCGTTCTGTGTCACAGTTGTTGACAGTGTGTCGCTCTCTGTCACAGTTGCTGACAGTGTATCGCTCTCTGTCACAGTTACTGACAGAGTGTCGTTCTGTGTCACAGTTGCTGACAGTGTGTCGTTCTGTGTCATAGTCACTGACAGTGTGTCGTTCTGTGTCACAGTTTCTGACAGTGTGTCGTTCTGTGTCACAGTTGATGACAGTGTGTCGCTCTCTGTCACAGTCACTGACAGTGAGTCGTTCTGTGTCATAGTCACTGACAGTGTGTCGTTCTGTGTCACATTTGCTGACAGTGTGTCGCTCTGTGTCACAGTTGCTGATGGAGTGTCGTTCTGTGTCACAGTTATTGACAGTGTGTCGTTCTGTGTCATAGTCACTGACAGTGTGTTGTTCTGTGTCACATTTGCTGACAGTGTGTCGTTCTGTGTCACAGGCCCTGACAGAGTGTCGTTCTGTGTAACAGTTGATGACAGTGTGTCGCTCTCTGTCACAGTCACTGACAGTGTGTCGTTCTGTGTCACAGTTGCTGACAGTAAGTCGCTCTCTGTCACAGTTGCTGACGGAGTGTCGTTCTGTGTCAAAGTTATTGACAGTGTGTCGTTCTGTGTCATAGTCACTGACAGTTTGTCGTTCTGTATCACAGTTGCTGACAGAGTGTCGTTCTGTGTCACAGGTCCTGACAGTGTGTCGTTCTGTGTCACAGGTCCTGACAGAGTGTCGTTCTGTGTAACAGTTGATGACAGTGTGTCGCTCTCTGTCACAGTCACTGACAGTGTGTCGTTCTGTGTCACATTTGCTGACAGTGTGACGTTCTGTGTCACAGTTGCTGACAGGGTGTCGTTCTGTGTCACAGGTCCTGACAGTGTGTCGTTGTGTGTCACAGTTGCTGACAGTGTGTCGTTCTGTGTCACAGTTGCTGACAGTGTGTCGTTCTGTGTCACAGGTGCTGACCGTGTGTCGTTCTGTGTCACAGGTCCTAACAGAGTGTCGTTCTGTGTCACAGTTGATGACAGTGTGTCGTTCTGTGTCACAGTTGCTGACAGTGTGTCGTTCTGTGTCACATTTGCTGACAGTGTGTCGCTCTCTGTCACAGTTGCTGACAGAGTGTCGTTCTGTGTCACAGTTGATGACAGTGTGTCGCTCTCCGTCACAGTTGCTGACAGTGTGTCTCTCTCTGTCACAGTTACTGACAGTGTGACGTTCTTTGCTACATTTTTTGACAGTGTGTCCTCTCTTAAACAGTAATAAAGTATTATAAGTGGGTCAATCTCGGCTGATGTTATTGATGATCTATCACACTCTACTATATTCAAGACAGCCTGTCAACCTCTAGTACAATCGATGACAGTGTGTCACCTTCTAGTACAGTTAATGACAGTGTGTCACCCTCTAGTACAGTCGGTGACAGTGTGTCACCCTCTAGTATAGTCAATGACAATGTGTCACCCTTTAGTACAGTCAATGACAGTGTTTCACCCTCTAGTACAGTCAATGACAGTGTATCACCCTCTAGTATAGTCAATGACAGTGTGTCACCCTCTAGTACAGTCAATGACAGTGTGTCACCCTCTAGTACAGTTAATGACAGTGTTTCACCCTCTAGTAAGTCAATGACAGTGTGGCACCCTCTAGTACAGTTAATAACAGTGTGTCACCCTGTAGTACAGTCGGTGACAGTGTGTCACCCTCTAGTACAGTCAATGACAGTGTGTCACCCTTTAATATCGTTCTGTGTCACAGTTGATGACAGTGTGTCGCTCTCTGTCACAGTTGCTGACAGTGTGTCGCTCTCTGTCATAGTCACTGACAGTGTGTCGTTCTGTGTCACATTTTCTGACAGTGTGTCGCTCTCTGTCACAGTTGCTGACAGTGTGTCGCTCTCTGTCACAGTCACTGGCAGTGTGTCGTTATGTGTCACAGGTGCTGACAGAGTGTCGTTCTGTGTCACAGTTTCTGACAGTGTGTCGTTCTCTGTCACAGTTGCTGACAGTGTGTCGTTATGTGTCACAGGTGCTGAAAGAGTGTCGTTCTGTGTCACAGTTGCTGACAGAGTGTCGTTATGTGTCACAGTTGCTGACAGTGTGTCGTTATGTGTCACAGATGCTGACAGAGTGTCGTTCTGTGTCACAGTTTCTGACAGTGTGTCGTTCTCTGTCACAGTTGCTGACAGTGTGTCGCTCTCCGTCACAGTTGCTGACAGTGTGTCGTTCTGTGTCACAGTTGATGACAGTGTGTCGCTCTCCGTCACAGTTGCTGAGAATGTGTCGTTCTGTGTAACATTTGCTGACAGAGTGTCGTTCTCTGTGAGAGGTGCTGACAGTGTATCTCTCTCTGTCACATTTACTGACAGTGTGTCCTCTCTTAAACAGTAATAAAATATTATAAGTGGGTCAATCTTGACTGATGTTATTGATGATCTATTTGTCGTTCTGTGTCACAGTTGCTGACAGTGTGTCTCTCTCTGTCACAGTTACTGACAGTGTGTCGTTCTTTGCTACATTTTTTGACAGTGTGTCCTCTCTTAAACAGTAATAAAATATTATAAGTGGGTCAATCTTGACTGATGTTATTGATGATCTATCACACTCTACTATATTCAAGACAGCCTGTCATCCTCTAGTACAATCAATGACAGTGTGTCACCCTCTAGTACAGTTAATGACAGTGTGTCACCCTCTAGTACAGTCAATGACAGTGTGTCACCCTCTAGTACAGTCGGTGACAGTGTGTCACCCTCTAGTATAGTCAATGACAATGTTTCACCCTCTAGTAGAGTAAGTCACAGTGTGTCACCCTCTAGTACAGTCAATGACAGTGTTTCACCCTCTAGTATAGTCAATGACAGTGTGTTACCCTCTAGTACAGTCAATGACAGTGTGTTACCCTTTTGTTCAATCAATGACAGTGTGTCACCCTCTAATACAGTCAATGACAGTGTGTCACCCTTTAGTACAGTCAATGACAGTGTTTCACCCT